CCTTCAAACAAGGAAGTCATCATCATTTTTATCAGCATGAGAACATGGGATGGAGGATTTTATTCTGGATATTTATGGTCTTTTGAAACTTAAGTGTATAATACTCCACAGCTCAATGCAAATGAGGTAAAACCCCATTTTAACCCCATTTTAAGCACATTTAAACCATGAAAGTTGTATGTTGTCAGACTCAGACTTCCTCACATATTTCAAGGATAAATCTTGAAATTGAATCACTGTAAAGATAATTAAATTTCTTGTCCATCTCTATAGCCAGACCCTCTGAGACTTTTGTCTTATCTGCCTCTGTTATTGGTCAATGACTTCCTTGATTGCTCTAGAATTGTAAAGTCTTTATTTTTCTGATTTTCAACCTGACCCTCTACTGTACCTTCCTAGTCCTCCATCACAATCCCTTTTTGTTTTTCCTGCCTGAACCAGAGCAATATCAGACTGTTGATTTCCATTGCTTCCTAATTTGTTGCTTTTCCTCAGCTAGAAGAAAAGATAGAAAAAAGGAGATGCTGTCCAAGCGCCTCAATATGGCATCTGATATTAGAATCTGGGTGTGCCTTTCTAGGACATTCTACTACTGTCCTTCCACTTCTTAAGGAAATCCTCCCTGCTTTAACCCTGGATTTGGGTCAAACTGTGACACCATCTGGAATGTACTGTTTCCTGCAAGACCTTCTCCATTTGATGTGATCTTCATTGAAGCATACCAATCCAGGAGAAATGAAATGCATTCTCCTCTTACTACAGACTTTTGCAAGACTTTTTCATTTTTACAGTTAAGATATGTATGCCTTTGCTATGGATAGATTTAATTCCACCCTAGATTGTTAAGTTTTGAGGAGAGAGACAATTCTTGTTACAGTAACTGGTGTGATACCGGTACTACTAAGGGAACTAGGACCTGGACCTGGAGGTGAGAATCTGTGAGATAGGGGTGCTCTGTGTGAGTCAGACAGAACTTTCTCCCCTGTCACATCATACTATGATCATGGAAAGGTACTGTATTCCCAAATGAGGACATCCTTGAGAAACAAGAGAATGTCTCCTGTGGAATGACAAGGAGGGAAAACTATAGCTCAATTCATTAGTTGGGGTGGAGCAGAGGTTCCTCAGAGTTGCCAGATGGGGGAAACTTGCATCTTAAAAATAATCCTTGAAATACTCGCCTCTGTACTAAAACATGAGGCAGGAGACCAAATGACAGGCTTTTGTGAAAGCAACTCCTTGGCGCGTTATTACCTGGGTGCAGGTAGGCAGAGAGAGCAACAAAGATCTCTGCCTCAACAAAGTTGTGTGCTCCTTTCATAAGCTTGCAAAGAGGGCAGGAGAAAGGTTTAGCAAATATCTGTGGTTAATCGGTTCTGGCAGCCTGTGTCCCAGTGGGCAAAGACCGTCAAGTGTCTCTGGTAAAATTTTTGGGTGTCTGCAGATGTCTCTAGTCCTGCAAAATACCTTTTCATAGTTTTCCCCCTTTCCTGTGTTTGTGGATGGCAGCCTCCAAGGAGTGCAGAGCTGAGTTCCCTGAATAGATTAATGCTTCTGTTGGTTCCGAGGCTGGGGCTGGGGGTGCCAGTCCAGGTTGGAGATTTACATCTTCTATATGCATGTTGGTGGTAAAGTCATTTCATGTAAGCCAAATCATATAACTTTATTTTTTGTAACTTCTTTTTTTTAAATTTAAAAACAAAGCAAAACTAAAGATAGAAAGGATACAGAATTTCAAACCATATAGGAAATTAATGCTAATTAATATATTGCATATTTTTATCTTACAAGTAATTGTTCAGGTTATAAGACTTAGGCATGAAAAAAATGATCAAACTTTTTTTTGAAAGCGCTACATTGATTTCTGAGCTCAGTTTGAATAAATTATCCTATACAAAGTCAAGTTTCCAAGGGCTTAATGATGGCTGGCCTATCCACATTCCTCTGCTACTCGCTCCTCTAGTCCAGGACACTCCAGCCTCATGTTTCCCTCCCCAAGTTTTCTAAAAGCCAATTTCCATTGCTTAGAATGCTCTGTCTCCAGTCTCTCCGAGGTTAACTTTAAAATCACTTTCAGTCCCCAGCAGTATAAGAGGCCTGCTCCCATACTAAATCCTAGAACTTTAACTGATCACTTCTATCAGAAGAAAAATTTTGAATAATATGCTTTGCAACTGTTTCTTTTTTTATTGTTTTTGATTGACCCATTGTATATGAGTCTCTTGCTAGTAGAAACTAAAGTCCAAAAGAGTGGGGAGAAATATATGTCTTCCATTGGTTTTTTCCTAGCACCTAGAAATGCTGGTTGTCTAACAGTAGATGACCAATAAATAATTGATGGTTGGATGAACAGAAACATTGCGTTCATTTATCTAGAAATTTAACTATGAACAGGAAAGTTCTAGGATACAAAACTGCTCATTTCTTCATTATGATTTAGGAGATTCGAGGCAAGTTTTGCCTACTCACTGAGCCTTATGAAGTATACTTGTATATCAGTCAGGGTTTTCTAGTGAAACAGACCAAAAGATAAATATAGCATGATGGCCAGCTAACAGAAGAGGATCATAAATTTGATCCCAGTGTTGGTAACTTATCAAGACCATGTCCGAAAGTAGAAAATAAAAGGTAGGAGTTTGGTGATATAGCTTGGTGTAAAGGTAAAGGCCCTGTTTTCAATTGCCCGTATTAGTTTGAAGAAGATAGATAAATATAAAAACGGGGCCAGGATTTAGCTCAGCAAAATAAGTGCCTGTCTGGCAAGCACGAGGTTGTGAGTTCGATCCCTGGTACCAAGTGAATAAATAAATAAAATAAAAATAAAATAAATACATGCAAAAACAGGAAGGGTAGGGGGAGGTGTGGCTGACCAAAGATCCAATGGCATAGTTTCAGGCTGAGTCTGAAAGTGGAAGAGGAGGAGAGCTGGTGTTGTAAATGCCAGCACTCAAAATCCAAGTTAAAGTCAATGTTCCACTTCAGTCCAAAAGCTGGTAAAGACCAGTGCTGTTGCTCGAGCATTCACACAGAAGCTCCCTTTCATTCCTGGAGGCCCAGTCTCTCTGTTCTGTTCATGCTTTTAACTCAGTGGATGGGGCCACCTACCTTAAGGTGAGCGATCTGCTTTATTCAGTTTACTCTGTTTTACTGACTCAAATTTTCATCTCATCCCAAGTCACCTCTATGAACATACCCAGAATCATGCTTCACCAAAAGTCTGAGGACTTTATAGCCCAGTCAAATTGACACATAAAATCAGTCAGTATACATAGTCTCTCATTTCCCACCAGTGTCTTTCACTCTGCTTTCACATAGAATATATATGATACTTTTTCCACATATAACCCACAGACCAGGATAAAATAAAAATGTAATATGCCTGATCAGAGAGTTAAGACCACCAGGTTGTTTATTGAATGACAAGTGATTCATACAGGGTGTAGGGAAGTTGAAAAAAGGAAAATAGCCTGATTTACTCAGTCACAATATTTTTGGAAAGTTTTGATTGATAACAATAGCTATACTTTATATTTGTTAACTAGTGATCTGAGCCAATTTAACTTTTACAGCTAAACTTAGGAACTAGACTGCATTCAGAAGATTCCATTGCCTTGATTAACGCAACAATAAGTAAGTCTCCTAATGTGTAAGGAAGGTACACAAGATTCTCTTGGCCAAATTTCAATCCTGCTATTCTCAGCTCTTTTCTTGACGATGCCTAGACCCTGTCCTTGCCTGGTCTACACAGTTTAGGTCAATTCTTGACAGAATCCTCAACCTTTGATATTTAATCATTCTCAATGTCTGATCAGTTTCTTCATTGCTAACAATTCATTTATCAATTCTTGATCTGCTTTCAATAAAAATGCTTTTAACTCAGGTTAGTAATAGGTACGTTACCCTGCTGTTTTGATGTGGTATTTTTTGATTCTCTGACCCTGTCTCTCTACTGATTGCCTATGCATATCCAGCTGTCTTTGTTGCATTCTAAGTTGAGCCCAGTTTCTGTCTCCTATTGTGATAGTCTTGACACATAATGAAATTATCCTGAATAAAATCCTTTTTGTTCTTTTAATGAGTAACTGAGTAGTATTTTTCTTTCACAAGCAAAATGATGACAAAGAAGTGGAGCCAGATTCTTCAGGGAGGACCAGCTGGGAATTCATTCTTCTCCAAGGGTTTGACTGTTATCTACAAAATAGTTCACGTGCCAAGGCCTCTTCTATAGGCTTTTCCTTCGTTAATTCCCTTGGTCTCACCACAAAGATCTCAAATTATTTTCTGATTACAAAGTCAAATGTACTTTCCTTTATGAATGATTTAGGAACCATCAAGAATAAATTACTACTTCATATTACCAGTTAATACCTGAGAATCTATTATTTTGTATTTTGCAATATCCTTTTTCACAAATGTTTAATTGGATGTCTAAAGGAACCTTGCAAACGGTGTATCATTATCTTCATTTAATCGTAAGGAGACTGAGAACAAAATGCCACTTTACCCCACACATTCAGATGCGAATGCTGCAACTTTGCCAAGAATATATAATAGATTATTTTCTAAAATGAGTATATGTGTTTCTTTAGTAACAAATAACCTATAATTACTCTGACCATATGACTTGCTTTGACCAATGAGCCAATACAATAGCTGAGGAATGATAAGGAAAACTCAAGAATGCTTACTCTTAGAATTCTGAGAATCCCTGTAAATTTATTTGCTGGAAAAGCAGAAATATGTGGCTCAATCATTTTCTTACCCTACTCAACAGCCAGTCAATTCTCTGGAGCCAAGTTACATGCTTTGAGTTCACTCAAGATCAGGTGAGACACTCTCCTGAAGGCAGCCCAAACCAGCCACATAATTATGAGCTAAATATATACTAGTCCTTAAGTTTGGGGTTGTTTCTTTGCAACATAAAGTAACAGATACACCAGAAAGAGTACTTTCAAGATACTTGATCTTGAAGGAAAGAGTTCAGCATAGCCCAGACTTACTTAGACTGTTGGTAAGAATATGCAGGTGCGTGTTCGTTGGACGTGTCCACCGCTATCTGTTGCTGCTGACCACTGGTGTCCTGGGAAGAAGGTGCCACTGTCTGGGGAGAGGTATCAGCAACAACACCCTAAGGAGGCAAATAAGTACACAAAAGCCTTATTTGCTTAAAGCAAAGGGTCCTCATCCAGAGATGGTAAATACCCCTGTGTTGGGTTTGAGCAGGGATGCTGTCAACTGTGTGAAGTCACGATATGTACTCAAAAGAAAACATCGGTGTGTGTCTAGATAGGGGTTGAAGAAGTTGTCTTGATGTGATGCCAATAAACAGTGTAATCGGACGTTCTTGGAGTACCCAAGAAATCAGAAAATCATTTTGCCTGTTCTTGCAACTTTTAAATACTAGTTGTATAAATCATATGAAGTGACAATTTATTAGTAAAAAATATTCATGATTTCTATAAGTATTAGTATACTCACACAAGCTGCTGGGGTATAGCAAATGTTATAGACATTTTAGCAAACCAGTGGACTCTGGCATTAATAAAAATCCACAGTAAAGATCAGATGTTTTCATAAAGAGTGTGCTGAGTAATTTTTCCATTCAATAATTTGATTTATTTTACTTTGCTTTATTTTGTAAGACATGAAGTACAATTTATTTAGTGGTCTTAAGAAAAAAAGTGGGGAAATAATTTTGTCCTTAATTTTGGTTTGCCTTTCTATCACTGTCTCCTGTGTTTTGTTTCTCACAGATGCTGGCAAAAACAGATTTCTAGCATTTTCATCAGCAGGGGCATAGGTTTGATGCCATGGGAGTGATAGGTGATGATGATTTGATCTGATTATTAATAGACTTGGGGGCAATGTGTTGGATATCTGCTGTGATGAGTTCTTGGTCAGTCCTTTGTCATTAAAAATCCCTGAATTTTTTCTTTAGAATCTGAAAAAATCTCCCTACAGTCATCTATTGTTTTCTTTCTTAAAGGGTTGTTTGCTGTTGTGTATTTTTCTGAGCATCCCACCAACATTTATTTATCTGAATACAGGAGAATGATAACTGTTTCTACATAGACAATGCATCAGTGTTTTACTTCATAAATCAAAATTCAAGGCATGTGTCAGAATACATTTATATATTTCTCAGTGAATTTCTTCTTTCCAAACTCTGCATTTAACTATAACTAGACTATTATTAATAGGAAATACCATCAACTATGTTTCATTATTTTATAATCATTAAAATGTGCTAATTATTTAGTTAAGCCTATGCTTTTGGTGTAGGCATACAGAAATGCAAGTATATGGCAGAAATTTATGCTTACAGTGCCTGGAAAGTCCAAATTACTACCTCAGAGTGTAGGTGTTTTTAATAGATAAACTTAACCAAGAATGTGAAATTTCATCACAATAGTCTTCAAATTCTGAAGATCCAATTAAAACTTTTTAATATGGTCCATTGTTTTGAGATCCATACATCTAGAACACACAAAAGCATTAAACATGTCATGCTCTTGGATTTCTAAACTACATAGCAGTATTCTATTAAGCATCTGCACTTTCTATACCTTAATATAAGCAAGCACACACTACACACAAAAAAATAAATAAATACCTTTTTGAAGAGATCCAATTAGTCTCTAAGGGTTTCCATCAGTCTCTTTATTGGTGCATTTTTGTGTGCAGTGGTTTAATTACCCTGTATACTGGATAAGCTATGAAGTAGCAAAGAGATCAATTCCCAAAGATTTTCAGTTGGTGACAAGAGATGCACTGTGATAACAATGTACGTGTGCATTGAGAAAAGGGGAAAGAAAACACATTGAAAGACAATGTGTAGAACCAGAGAAAATACACATCTAAAAGTTTTACCATTCTTTGCATAGCACTATTCTTTCTCCTTTTCTATGTAGCTTGAGGCTTTGTCCAGCAAAATAGGTTTAGAGTATATTGATTCACCGTTATTCTCATTTGTTACATATACAGTGATCATAGTGATCCACCTGTTTCTTTCCTGTCTATAGAGAGCTACAAATTTGTGATGACTTACTTAGAAGAACAGTAGTTTTACTGTTTTTGTGTGCGCATTTCTGTTTTGTGGTATCAGGGATTGAAGCCAGAGCCTCATGCATGCTAGGTAAACATCGTACTATGGAGTTACACTATTTACCAGGGCAGTGGTTTTTAATCTTTGGAATATATGGGAATCACCTGAAATCTTTTAAAAACCTGGATGTGTACTACATTCTCAAGATAAATCAGTAGGAATCTCTAGGGATAGAATCCAGGAATCAGTGTTTTTAAAGTTCTCCAAATAATTGTAATGTGTGGAAAAGTTTGAGAATTAGCACACTAGTATGGATGGCTAACATTTTAATGTGCATCTGGGTCACTCAGAAATCATCTTAAAATGAAAAATTAAAATCCAGCAGGGGTGAGTAGGATCTTACAGTTTGTGTTTTTAACAAATTCCAGGGTGTTACAATGCAGCTAGGAACTCTCTTGGAGAAAAAAGACACTGGAGATCTAGTACATTCAAACAGCTTTTCCTCCCTATTACTGAGTATTACGTCTACCACTTTATAGAGTAGTGGTTTATTCTCTGGATTTTTAAATGTGCAATGTGTCCTTCCTTCAGACTTCTGTATCAGGTTAGTTCATTTTATGTGCAAAACAAAACACAGGCACGATAGGGTAAGTATACATACTTTCATATACTGAGTTTGGACTACAAATTTCAGACCAGCACACAATTTAGACATGAGGATTTCTTGTGTTATAGGGAACCACAGTATAAATAACTGAGACTCATTTCCCTTTGTCTCTCTGGAAGACAGGATTAGACTTACTTCAATAGAAACAGCTGTTGGAGGCACAGGCGTGTACTGGGGAATGTAGGTCCCTTGCATAGGAGCTGCGGCAGTCATATACTAGAGGAAATCAAAGAAAAATGCATGTAAACCTGGGGTTTCAACCACACAGAAAATCAATTACCACAAGAGACTATTTTAGATGTATGGGCCACGGCCAATACATGATTAGTCAAATTATGTTTTGACCAAAAATAAGACAGGTTCCCAAACCAGCAATAAATAAGCTTTTCTTTTCTGATTCAATACTAACAGAATAGTATCTTCAATTTTACAATATCAGTTCAAGTTACTTTGCCCCAGTCCTCACTTTATGATTTTAAACATCTCCAACATTTCACATTTCACATCTAAACACCAACAAGGGTTAGGGTGACATCTATTTTGTTTCACTTTTTAAAATGTTTTTCTCCATTTTATTGCTAGTGTCTATCATACAGTAGGCTCTCAACAAGTATTTGTTGAATGAATGACTTAATATATTAATCTTAGTAGTTATTTCTTTTCTAATTAAAATTAGAGGAATAGTGCAAGAAAAAATTTATGTTACGTTACTCAAATTTGGCAAATGTCATTTTGGAGCTAAGGATGAAGTTTTCTTTGCTTCCTTCTCCTATTTCATTTTAAGTCAGTGTCATTACTTTTTCCAATTCTTCTAATTCTCAGAACTTTTATTACTGGGATAAGTAATAAAACAGCTAAATAATTTTCTATATGTTGTGATGTTTAATAAAATATGTATTCGACACAAAATGTATTTTTGCAAAGAAGAATGGGAGCTCATTTAATGAACACAAAATATGACCCATATTCTCATTTTTAACACATACACTCCCTGTAAATTCTATGGAATTAACCATGCTCCTCACTTCTAAAAGTGACAATATTACAAAACTTCATAACTAGAATCAACTCAGGAAACAAAGTTTTTCAGTTCATAAAGGATAAAGGAATTATTCTGATGGGCAATCAAAAGCCTCTGAATCTATTTCTCTGAATTTGTTCAGATAATTTATTAAAGCCATGCAGAGGAATCAAAAAGATAAATTCCTTGTACTGTGTATCATACCACTTTCAGTATTCAAGAGACATGATTTAACTGAAGGGAAATATTTTGATGGAGACTAACTTGCCTACTGCAGTTGCTTAATATTCATGGAAAATTACAGTAAAAAATGGAATAAATGGAACCTCCATCCTAAAAACACTCTAACTTCTAAAATTAGAGGTAGTCTTAATAAAGCAGCCTAAACCAAACAAACCAAACTGTTTCCTATAAGCTATGTGTTCTTAAAATAACAAAGAGAAACTCATACCTACTTGAAAACTACTTTTTAAGTGAACAAAGAGCTATTTGCTTGAAAGGTCTAATAACATTGGTAATTTAGTTTTGTGATTGAAATTTATCAGTGACTTCTATAATCTATCCTCTATGTCCTTATTGTATTCACCATTCTTCTATTAGAGTGTCCAGACTATCATCTCCTTAAAGTCACGGGCCATGGTTTATGCATTTTTACATCTCTTAATACACAAAGAAATTTCTGGAATTCAGTAAACAATCATTCAGTAGCTAAAGGAAAGATATAATCAGAATGCTTTCCCTTTCCAGTTAAAACATCAAGCATATCACTTACTTCTTAACTCATCACAATATTAATTTTACCTCCACTCACAATGTATTTGTATAAGCTTTAACTACCTTAGCTAACTGTTCTCACCACGGCTTTTGTGTCCTTCATTAGAAAGGTGTTCAATTACTATCAATTTTTCATCTAAGAACAGAACTCAGACATCACATTTCTTTTTTTTTTTTTTTTTTTTTTTTTTTGTCTTTTTCATTTTTATCGGTACCGGGGATCGAACTCACGACCGCCTGCTTGCAAGGCAGGTACTTATGCCGCTGAGCTAAATTCCCAGCCCCGACATCACATTTCAACCAACCTGGTTTCACATCTAGAACAAAAGTCAGCCTTCTGCCTCGTCAACAAAATTGCTCCAGGAATTACACTGTAAAACATTTCCTTGGCCATTTCAAGTAGATGATTTGACATTGTCTATGGATTCTAAATATCCTTAAAGTTAACATTCCTCACAATGGATACCTGGATCACTACATATATTGAGAGGAGAGTTTTCTAAGTTCCAATATAATTGAGCAATGCTATATAATCATGCCCTACTTTTAAAACATACAATAAAAATTCTGAGAAGTCATGTTTTACAAAAGCTCATTTTATCATGATTAAAACAATTCTAAAACTTCATTTTTGTAGTATCTATGAAATTTGCTTAGACCTAGTGCTGCAGGAATACCCCTTAGGAAAATATTTACTTGAATCTTAAAAATCCTAGCAAGTTTATAGTAATTATGGTAATGTTTTTGCCCACTATGAACTCATCAAAGTACACAATTGATACTGTGGTAGTTTATGTTCTATCTTTGGTCGTGGTCATGACGTACTATATACTAGCATATCATCCCTTCAACCACTTGAAATTTTCCATTCTAGAACTAGTATTTAAAACTGCAATTGAGCCTAACAAGTTAGGATGTATGATATTCCCATAGGAAGATGTCTCTAGCACTCATGATGCTACTTTGATCCATCCATCTGAACTCCACTCTCAGGTCTGTCAGGAGGTATTTCTGTGAATTAGAGATCAGTAGGGACATGACCTATGACTGTATAGATCATTTATCAGGTAACGTAAGAGGTAATTCAATTACAGTATTTATATCTCCCTGTGCAACTAAAGAATTACTAGGCAGTATGGCTAATGAGAGTATTTTATGCGACATTTAGCTTAGTTTTTTTAAATTCAGGTATGCAAAACTTCATGTTTGTTTTATTTGTATAAAAGTAAATCAACAGGTCTTTAATCTTCCCATAATATTCACTAGTTTTGAGCTGAACTGCTTAATGGACTAATTCATACTTCCCTTTAGAACAGTTCTTTGAGTCTGGCAGGATATTTCACCCATCTTACAAATGAAGGAACTGAGATTCACACATCGTGAGAACAAACACATGTTCCTCTGATCCATGATTTAGCAACTTTTTTATTACCTTTAAAATTAAGTAAAAAAAGATCCTAAGAGCTTTCTTCTGATCATTACCCCATAGTATGGATACTGATTTCTTTTTATCAATAGGATTTATTAATTGCAGTTTTAAGAAAATATAAGCTAATATGCCTTTGATTAATATTTTATTGTTTGCTTACATTTTATCCTTACTTTGTAACGGTAATACCTACTTTCATTTTAGAAGGACTACTCTATAAGCTCTATAAGGACTACTCTATAAGCTACTCTAGTATCTCAATTTTATGTTGGTCTTGTTTTATGCTATAAAACAGGTTTTATACTGCAGGTTTTATGCTATAAAAAAGATGAGTTCAGTTCAATGTGCTATCTGGGTTGCTTTGTATATCATTCAATGGAACAAATCTTTCTGATTGTTTTTCTTTTGTCATTGGCAAATTAGTAGATAGATTTTGAGAAAATTGTTTAAAAATTAAGAAAGTTTTTAAGCAAGTCAATGTGGAATTTTATGTCCCTAAAGACTGTTATCTGTGAATAAACTGTAACAGTGAAGTGCTTCTGTGTTCAACTTATACATTCTAGAGAGAAGCCTAAAGAATGGTGATCTTGTAAAATTCAGAGCAAGTACTTACAGGAAATGGCTACAGCTCTGTATAAGCCTAACTCTCAGTTTTGATTATTGATGACAGGTAACTGAACTTTTTCTCGAAGATTCCAACTTTGATTTTCTTAAGAGCTGCACTTAGATTCAATAAAACAGGCTGCACAAATATTGTTTAGATTTGGGCGGTTGACAATGCTATTATTTTATCAAACTAACAAAAGATAAAAGGTCTGTGATATCAGTTCTGCCCTTTTGACTTGATAAATTCTCATAGATTACTTATTAAAACCATAACAAAAATGGATTTATATCCTTTAACCTAATTTATTTTATTGATACTTCCTATAAGCTAAAAAAGTTATATATATATATATATATATATATATATATATATATATAACTATATATTTATATATATATAAAAGTTATATATAAACTATATATAATATTTGCTTGATATTTTTGATACAACACCTGATGAGAACCATGTTATAATGTGATAGTGCAGATAAAATAAATGAATCCATAAAAGATTCCCATTAGTAGAAGCTCAAAGTTACAGCTCATAGCTTTTACACACTCTTAAGCCAGTGGGTTTCATAATGGAAGTGTGTAGGAGCTTTGAATAATCATTTTCAAAGCCGCAGAATAAATTCCAGGCTCCATCACTTGTTCCAGGAAGTCTAGACAGTGCATCATCAGGATACTTACATGAAGAGTATGAGAAAAATTTGCGAGATTGGAAAGGAGTTGTGTTTCTGCCTACTTGAGTTGGGACAAAATGTTTCTGTTGTGTGTAATCACTGATTATTTCTGGGAAAACAAAACCCTACATTGTTAGTTCTGGGTTTACTCTCTATGTCCCCACTAATTGTAAAGAAGTCAAATTTTTTCATACTTTATATAGGGAAAGATTTCATTTACTTTATTTTATAGGGCCAAGAAAAGACTTATATTTGGATATTTGGCTTTTCTTAAAATAACTGATGGTAATGGTTGATTTCGAGGTATCATTACATTATTTTACATTGGTGTACTTAGTTCTGGCTATAAAGCTTGTAAAACTGATTAATAAATTTCAGCAAGAGGAGTTGGTTTGGTCTCATTAAACCAAGAAAGCCAATGATAAAGCACAAAAAAACTGTAAAAATTACCTCCAAAAGTAGTTGAAAAGATGAAAGCAGAGATTATGATAGATGATACTAACAGAATTAGTGTGAATTATTTTAAAATCATGTAATTTAAAGTTTATTTTTAAAGAGGAAGCTTGCAGATACAGGTAATGGCTTGAGGTGTTTTTGTTTTGTTTTTCAAAACTGAATGAGGACTGAGAGAGAAGCATGGTATTGTTTCTACCAGAATTACTCTGGAATTTTGACAGCTATGTTGTTTGGAATTGTATAATTC